CGCCGCCCGTGACACCCCCCCCGTCCGCCCCGCGCGGCCCCCCGCGCTCCCCCCGCGCAGCGCCGCGCAGTGCCCGCGCAGACGCCCCATTTATAGCGCGCGCCGGCGCCGCGGCCCCGCGCCCCGGGGGGGCCGCTCCGGCACCGCGGTGGAGCTGGTAGGTGGGTTTTTTCCCTGCGCCGAGTTTATTTTTACCCCCCCTTCTCCCCGTCCCATCTCTCTCTCTCTCTATATATATATATAAAATAATAATTATTTTTCTTCGGGGCCTCCCGTGACTCGCGCCGCGCAGGACGGAGTAGCGCATCACGAGAGACCTTGCACGCCGGCGGGTCGCGGGGCTCCAGGGCGGCCGGGTCCGGCCCGGGGTGGGAGGCAAAATAAAGTGAGGACTCGTCTTTCCGCGCACCAAAGGGGTGAGCAGCGCTCACCCGACGTGCCGCCCGTGCGCAGAGCTGATGTACTATTTTTTGGACAAATAAAAATCCATTTTTTTTTTCTTCCCGCTTTTACCTCCCAGGGCCGCTGCGCTCCCGCTGCTCCGCGCTGTCCCGCTCGCAGGGCGGGGGGCGGCGCGGTCGGGGGCGCCTGGACCCGGCTTTGCGACCTGCGGAGGAAACGGCGGGTTCGGCGTCTCGGGCGGTGACGGCCGCGGCGTGGGGCCCTGTGCAGCCGCGGAGCGGGCAGCGGGCGCAGGCTGTGCGGGATGTCCCGGCTGTGCCGCCCCGACGCGACAAACGCACCTGGGCACGGAGCGAGCCCTCCTGCTGCTGCTGCTGCTGCGCGGGATCCCCGCGGCCGGAGTCCGGCTCTGCTCCGGAGCGCGCGTGCGCTCTCCTCATCCTGGGGAGAAAAAAAAAAAGAGGGAAAAAAAGAAAAAAGAAAAAAGAAAGATAGAAAAAGAAAGAGGGAGGAAAGATGAAAAATCTGAAGCGCGGCTTCCACGCCGCGCATCTCCTCGCGGCTTCCCAGCTTTGCGCGGGAGTTGCTGGGCGCTGCGGAGCAGCTATTGCGACACGCGTGTGTCCCCCCCCCGACCCCCCGTGTCCCGCGGGGGCCGCGCGGCCGTCGCGCCCCCTCCCGCCCCGCGCAGCTGTTTCGCGCTCCGCCGGCGCTTGCAACGCGCGGGGATCAATAGGGCCCCCCCGGGCCCGCATATGGGCCGCTTCTCATGTAAAGCAGCGCGGGGGTGTCGGGGCGGCCGCGCTCCCCGCGCCGGGAGGCGACAGCTGCCCTGCCCCGCCGGGGACCTCTTCCCTTTGACGCGGCCCCGGTGACATGTGGCGCCGGGCATGAATGCGCGGAGGGAGATGAGCATCTTCTGTCCATCAAGCACCAGTTTTTCACAGCATTTTTTTCCCCTCTTTCTCTTTTTCTTTTTTTTTTTCTTTTTTTTTTCAGGCGTTAGCGAAAGCATCTGGTTACCCGCCCTGCCCCTTCCCGTCGGGGCCGGGCAGCGCGGCCGCGCAGGGGACCGCGCGTTGTCCCCACTCCGCGCCGCTCCCCTGGTGGGATCTGCAGCGCTCGGGGCTTCTCGATTTGCCCGATTTGCCTTTATTTTGTTCTTAGAGATACTTTTTCTTTAAAAGCTATTTTTAAAGCATTTCATCCCGCTCGCTTTTTTTTCCACCCTTCTGTGGCGAGGAATCACGGCACGTTGCAAAGAGCGCAGCGCCGCGCGCAGCTCGTGGGCAGGGAGTATTTCCAAACACGGTGCCCCAGGCCGTGCACTTCACAACCTGCATACCCTGCCCTCCTTCGCTGCTGGGAAACAAAAAAAAAAAGAAAAGAAAAAAAAAGGAAAGAAAAAAAATAGAGAGAGACAGAGGAAATTGGGAGAGCGAGGGAGCACATCCATATTTGTTTCTGATATCATTCGGGTGGCAGAAGTCCTTTGCAAACCTTTTTCGGTCCTTTTTTCAGTCCTTTTCATCGCTTTTCAGGTCCTTTTCGGGCGAGCTTGGCTTTGCATTTTATCGGAGTCGTTGCCTCTTCCTAGTTAAACATCACCTCGTTCATCCCCGGCCTTTCTACACCGCTGCGCTCGCTAATGGCATTTCCCGGCCCCGCTCCTGTGCAAACAGTGCGACCCGCGCAGCCTCGTCCCGTCCCGCGCAGCTCCGCGCGGCCGCCGCTGCGGGGCAAAAAAAAAAAAAAAAAAAAAAAAACCCCCCCCCTTTTTTTTTTGTTATTGTTATTTTCTCCCTCCCCTCTCTCCCCCAAGTTGAGCCGAGAGAAAAAAAAAGCTTCCTTTCGGAGGCAGCGCGGCCACATCCCACTGCCCTGCAGATATATGGCACAGGAAAGGTGAAGAGCGCTGGGAAACGGAGCTGGGAAAACAGTTTTTTTAATCTGCTCCTGTGATCTGGAAAACTCCTCCATCCCTTCCGGCAGCACCGAGATCATCCTCTTTTCCCCTATTATTTTTCCTTTCCCTCCTCTTTTCTTTTTCCTATTCATTTCGCGATATTTTTAAAACGAACGAACGGGGCGCGGGCCGGGGGGCTCCGGCGGGGCTCTGATCGGCGGCGCGGAACGGCCGCCCGCGCGGCCCCCCGAGCAGCGCAGCGCACGGGACAGCCCACGCGGGACGCGCCGCAGTTCCCGCCGGCGCCGCGCCGCGCTCCGCGCCGCTCCGCGCTAACGCCTTGCAAGGGCGGCGGGCGCTTGCGCGGCTTTTCCGCCGCTCCGCGGGCCGGGCGCTGCGCGGGGGGCGGTTCCCGCGTCCCGCCGCTTTCCCAAAGCAGAAACTTTCCCCGCGCGACGCGGCTGCGGCCGGCGGCGCTGCCTGATTAAATATATATAGGGCTAATGCACTAAACAAATATTTAAGCTCCGATGTAATTAAGCCCGTATAACATCCCCGCGCAAGAAGCCCGAATTCGATTTAAGGAGCGCCGAAAAGACGTTTAAATCGGGGGCTGGGAGGCCGCGCTCCGCGCAAGGAGCCGCGCGCCCCGCCGAGGATTTTCCGCCTCCCCTCCCGGGTTTCTTGGCACGTCGCTAAATGTTGTCGCTTACACGCACGGCCCGTGCAGTGTTTATGGGGAATACGGTTAATAAATAATTACAGGTCCGGCGGGGGGGCTGCGACGTGCGGCTGCACGGCCCTGGAGGGGGGGTCCGGGTTGGGGGACGTCCCCGTCCCGCCCCGTCGAGCAGGGAGCCGGGCGTGTGAGTGTGAGGGGGCTTCTCTGCGTGATTAGAGACAGAAACGGCGGGTAAAAGCGAATAAAAGAGGGAAAAAAAAGAAAAAAGAAAAAAAAAAGAAAGAAAAGTAAAAAGAGGTGGCGGGCCTGGGGGGGGGAGGGGGTGCTATAAAAAAAAGAGGGTGAAACAAACCCCAGGAGGATGCGCGGGTCCCACCTCATCCATCTTCATTGTCTGCGTGTGCAAAAGCAGCGCCCGGGTAAGGAAAAGCCACTATCAAAGCCATGGCTTTATTTTATATCCTATAGATCAGGAGGGAGGCAAAGCTTTATTTTCGCCCAGAGACAGATATTTTATTTCTCTCTTACGGTTTTATGTGTGAGAGATGTCAAAAAGGTAAAATAGATTGCTAATGCATAGGCAAAACGAAGCTGTTTTGGCATGCTCGGTGTCAGGAGGTCTCCCAGGGAGAGCGGGCTGGGGATTTAGGGCTGATGGGCGACTCTGGGGGATTTCTGCTAAAACATCTCTCTTCATAAATTCAGCCGCGTGGTCAACGCAATAGGGAGAAAGGAGTTTTAAAGGGGAAGAGGTGGTGGTGCCTGCAGACCCTTTTCCAGGCTCTTTCCATGGTTTTGTGTGATGGAGAAGCATCTTTTCCCACCCCTGCATCCCCCAAACTCCAACTCGTGCAGGACGGAACAGACCCGTCCGGATCGGCACGCGCAGGGACGCGGGTGCAAACGGCGGCCGCCGCCTTCGATCGCGGCAGCCCTGGCCGCGGATTTGCAAGGACCTTTTGCAAAGTTAAAATATATCTCCCCAAGCTGCAACAATTTTCATACTTTTTAACCTCGGGGATTTACTCAGCGCATTAAGTTCAAGGCTCCGAGGCCCAAGGCTATTACTCATGGAGGTACTCCCACCACCTCCTCTTTTCACCACATATTTTATCATTTGACTTCCTGGCTTAAATTCATGTTATGGCAAATAATAGATGGCAATACTTTCCCCCTTCCCCATGTTAATTGTCTGCTCTGACAAACTCCGCGTTGGAAGTGATTTAAGGCAAACAACGGCGGAGCGGAGAGTCGGGCCGGCCCGAGCCGGGCGCCTGGGCCCACATCCCTGCGGGGTCCGGCACAAGCCCCTGGAAAACCCGCTCCCAAGGGGAATGCGGCGGCAAGCCCAGGGGTGGCACATTCCAGACTCCATGGGGTCCATGTGCTCCCTGAAATGCTGCTCTTCCCCAGGTGACCGGGACAGACAAAGAAGAGCACTACTTGTAAATTAAAAAAGCAAGGTGCAGTTGATTAGCAAATTAATTACTACAGTACCCTCAGGATTATACTGTTTTTCCCAGTTCCGTGGGACTTTGCCATGTACCAGTTTCATGGTCACTCCCACATAAAGTCCCACACAGGGCCAAAGGTCTCTGGGCTGAAGCAGGGGGGCCTGGACCCTTCCCTCCGGTGACTCCGGGAAAAGCCTGGCTCTCCCTTGGGATCATCCGTGACTGCGTGGAGAAGAGTAGCCCTGGGATCATCTGTGGCTGCAGGAACAGCCCTGGGATCATCCGTGGCTGCGTGGAGAGGAGCAGCCTCCTCCTGCCGCGTGGAGAGGAGCAGCCCCGCGGCGGCTCCGCGCTCGGCCCGGCCAGCGCTCCCGCAGGGCGCCGGGCGGCCGGAGGCGCCGCTTCCTCCAGGGCAGCCGCCGCGGCCAACGCGGTCCTGCCTCGCCAGAACCGGCCCAGACCTTCTGGCCCCTTTTATACCCACCTGCTTAGTCCCGGCCTCCGGTTCCTCTCCTAATTTTAGCAACTCGGCTTGGATGCAGTGCCGGATGTCACCCGATATTTATATAAGCTTCTATTTTAAGGCTTCTGTCAGGGCCCCGTGGAGGTGGCCAGCGGGTCCTGGTTCTGCTGCTGCTCTTGCAGCGATTCCATGTGCAGGAATTGCCGCCCGGCCCCGGCTCTTCCACCCGTTTTAGATGCACATCCTTACGGAGCCAACCGGAGCCCTCGAGGGCGCTTCGGCAAAGTGCAGGGAATCGCAGCACCCCGCTGGGGTGTGCGGCATCCTGGGCGTTTGCAGCACGGAGCTGTTCTGCTTGCCGAGGAGAAATCCCCCTTGCCGAAATCCATGAGTATTCACAGAGCCTGCGGCATTCTCAAGTAAGTGCTGGAAAGACCTTCAAGCGGCTCCTAGATCCCCGCGTTAGGAGCCCCAGCAATGGCTTTGGGGAACGTGTCCTTCATTCCCTTCAGCGGGTGCTAATAAACAGAGCTCGCTTCCAAAACCTGCCACGTTTCATTCCATAACTTCCCCCCAGGGAAGTTACCGCAACTTGGGGTGGCCTCCCCTGTTCCCCTCCCCTGTTCCCCTCCTGAAACTTCTCCCTGATTCCCAGGGCGAGAGGTCCCAGTCTTGCCCAGAGACTCCAGTTTCGCACACAAATCCCATTGGAAGCGCCTTGGGCTCGGCCCACAGGGACCGGACCAGCTCCGGCACCCGCTCCATGCCGCTCCCGGCTGCATCCACCTTGGACAGGGCCCGTGCGCCCCCAAAGCCACACCAGGGCTCCACGAGAAGACCCTATCAGCCCTACAGCAACGCCACAAAACGCTTCTCCTCGCTAAAGAAAGTCCAGGCCAAGGAGCAAAAACCATCCATAAAAAGAATCCCCTGAAAATCCACACGGCTTTTACCACGCTCATTTGTTGCTGTTTTCTGTGTGCATGAAAAACCGACTAAACTCATGAGTTCTGTTCGGAAACAAACAGAAATTAGAGTTAAAATGTTCACAAACCAACCGTGCTGCCGAGTAGAGGCGGTAGAGTCAAACCTCCTACCGGCGCGCTCAGCTGGATATCTTTCTCTAAGTCTGCAAAATATAATTAAATTGGTCTTGCTTAAGAAAAAAAAACAGATAGCCCAGCCCGAGCCCCTTCTACGGCTGCTGCAGACGTGCCGAGGTTCCTTTCCATAAATGCTAAGCAGACATCTGTAAACGTAATTGGAATTTAGTGCACAGGTGAAGAGCTGCATACAAATCAGCGGGGCTGGCGGGTGCCCGGCACAGCCCCACGGCCCACCTCCAAAGGGTGGTCGGGAAAGGGGGGATCCTGCTCGCCCTGGGTCCCCAGGAAACAGGCACCGGCTCCGGAGCAAGTCCCCGCGTCCGCCGGCTCTGCCGCAGCTCCGACACGTGCGGACACCCGGCACCGGGCATTATTTTCCCCTCATTTTCACTCGTTTTTGTTTTTCCTTCCCTTCCTCACCTCATCCCCAGTGTTTCCTCCGAGAGCTCCAGTCACTCACCGAGAAGGCAGCAGGATGGAGGGAAAAGAAGCCATTGGGAAACACCGGGACATGACGGCCTGTTTCAACAATGAGAAACTGCTGACAACTCTGTCACCCCCTGTAACATGGAAATAAGGTGTCTGATTCCTGGTTTTTGGAGCCCAATCCTCCACGAAATGCTTTGAGATCCTCCCATGGAAGCTGTCGCGGCTCCGCAGTACCGTTAGGTGATTGGTACTTAGCTCCTAATTTGATTTAAAACAAAATTCACAAGCGATGGGGCTGTCCTGGGGCTGGGACCCAAGCTCCTGACATCAATGGGAGCGTTTCCTCTCCCCAAATGTACCGGGAAAAGGTCCCGCTGTGTCTCCCCATTGGGTTTTCCTGCATGGGGAGCTCCAGATGTGCCCATGGGCCCTGCAGCTGGATGAATTAGGGGAATTAAGGGGACAGGACTGTGGGAGACAGGGGCCTGGCCGGGACCCGTGGCCCCTCTCCGGTCACTCACCCGATTGCAGCAGGAGCCCCGAGGCCGCCGGCACTTCGTGTCCCGGTTTATCCCTCTGTCCTGCTTTGCAAACACTGTACCGAAGGGCCTGGCTTGTTTCGATATATGGAATTATCTGTTGCGGCGCTTCGGTATTTATTACATCGATTTGGTTTTAACTGCTTGGTAAATCATAGCACAAAATAATGGCCTTCCAACTGAGAGTCAGGTGCTGCAATCCACCAAGAGAGAGTCGGAATTGTAATTTAAAATATATATTAAGAAGTCCTTATGCGAACCTCTTGTTTAAATTAAGAGAGGGGACATGATTCATAGAAGAAGGCCCAAGCAAATGTAATTTTTCCCAGCAAATTAGAGCCTCACTGGGCACAGCAGGAAGGCCGCCCTGTGGGATGGCGGTGGGATTTTGCTGTGGGATGGATCCAGGAGAGCCACTGCTCCCGCTCCGTCACAGCCCCTCTCTGCGGTTGGAGCTCCAGGTTGGGCTCCGTCGCGGCCGAGTTTCCATCCGCTCCCTGGGAATCCCTTCTCCTGCTCCGCGGTGCTTTGGGAGCGCTGAGCACGTCCTGCTCCGGATTTCTCCCATGGATCCGATGGAGGACAGATGGGACCTGCAGCACAGAGGGGACGTGGCACAACCCAAACCCCGGGATGGGCGGCGCATCCGCCCTCGGAGCGGCCGGCGACGTCCCCGTGTCCATGAAGCCCCTCGCAGTAATTATCACGCTGCTCCATTGCTGAATTCCTTGACAAGTTATTAAATCATAATTTCTAATTTAAATGCCAGCTTTTGGCGTGCGTGCCTGCTCAGGATAAGCTCATTTTCATTTTTATTAAACATCACCTACGAGGCACACGGAGAACTTGCGCAGGAAGAACGGGAAGCACCACAGGTGCCCGATTCCCGGTGCGCGGCCGCCCTTCCCAACCACTCCCGCGCTCCCTCCCATCCCGGCTCGTCCCTTCCTGACTGGTGCCGGGACACAGGGAGCCCTGGGCAGCTCCGAGCCAGATCGCAGCTCCCAGGCGCCCTCCTGCTTCCCTCCCGGCCTCGGGCCTGGAGGGGAGGGACACTGCCCATTCCCCCATCCGCTTCCCACCTGCGGACTGCCCATTCCCTGCAATCCGAGCGATTCGTTAAATAGATCATCCCTACCTGAAGATAATCCATTTATGTGTTTTAATTAAGCACAATTATCGCAATTTGTTCTGCTGCCTGCCCCAACGCGTGCCCAGTCTGAGCGGCGGGCGGCAATCCCGTGCCGACGGGCTCATCCCGGCGATGGAAACCGGCCCGGCACCAACGCCTGGCAGCCCCTTCCCGGGGAACCGCGGGGCTGCTGGGGCCCGCGGACACCCCAGGGCCACGCGCGGTGCCCGGTGCGGGCACACGTTCCCTGCCGGGAACCCCACGGCCCGTCCCGCCGGCCGGCACCGCGCGCTCCGACGGCAGCGAGTCCCGCGGACTCGGCGCTGTTTGTTTTGGGTTCAATGGCATCTCATTTACACGTGTTAATTGCAACTAATTGGCACTAATTGGATGAACAGGAAACCCTCTGGGAGCACTCATACCTTTAATTTGTAGTAAATATCATTAATTAACATATGCTAATTAGAGCCAATTAACATTGATTAAGGGTTGCCAGCTACTTGGAAAGTACAACTCTCCGTGTTGCATTAAGGCAGCGCAAAGCGGGATGCAGGAGGCGCTTGGCTCCGGCACGCCGCAGCGAGCCGGGATGCGTGGGGACCCCGCGGCGGGAGCGCAGGAGCCGGAAGGCCGAATGCCTCTCATCCCTTGGAAACTTTGCTCCTGAATCACCCAGCACCAACCGCGTGTGCCCGGCGCCTTCCCGCTGCGCTCTCCACCGGGATAGCGGCTCATCCGGCGGGAAGGTGCCACGCGGTTAACGGGATTAGCCGCCTGCGCCGGCGCGAGGCCCCGCGGGGAGACGGCGCACGCCGGGCGCCACCACCTCGGCTCGATGGGTTCAGCACGGTGCCGAAATCCGCATTTCCGCAGCGCTGCGGAAGCAAGTCACCCCCGCCGAGGATAACGCGCAGCCCGCGAGCCGCGGGTTCGAAAGCGGCACCGTGTTTGCGCAGGAAACTGGAGCCTGTTTAACGCATTGGCCGGCGGTTCTGCAGTCCTTGCTCCAAGGAAAGGAGACTTCGGAGAGCGGGAAAACCTGTATCTCAGGAGTTTAACAGCATCGCGGAGCTGCCTCGGAGCCCAGGGACACCCAAGGACATGGGGACGCAGCCTGTTCCCTTACGACCACGCGCTCCGAGCCGGCACGTCGCTCCAGTGATCCTGATGCTCCATGCTCCCAACTGGGACTTCCCGGACGCGTTTACACTGTTTTGGATGCACTGTCAATAATGTTTACAGTAAATTAATTATCAAAGCAATTTTAATTTATTGTTATTAATTATAATCTCGTTAATTAACTCCAAATAGAGGAGACGGCGCTGTTTGGAGGTTGCACCCCGGCAAACCAACCCGTGCCACAGTGGGGCTCCCGGCAAGCTGGCCACGGGTGCTGCTCCGGCCTCATTCCATGGGATTTCCCTTGGGATCCCCGTGGCCGGGAGGCTCAGGTAGGACGGACTCGCGCTCGCCCCACGGGTGCCAGGATGAGCCAAGCTGGGCGCAGAGAGGGAGACCGAACGAAGGGCTGCGGCGCTTGCAAATTCAAGATCTCTTTCCATTTTACGACTGCCTTAGAAGCCAGATCTCCATGAACGCAGCCCTTCAACAAACATTATGCACGGGATTTATTACGGATGTATACTGTTTACTGGGGTTATAGTGATGTATGGGCTCTCTTCATCATCCGAGCAGTAAAGTATATGGCTGTGACCCCGGCTCCCTGCGCGCGCTGCAGCCTCCAGCCACTTGATATTTCCCCGCGCTGACATTTGGCGCACGCGGCGCCGTCCGCGTTGCCACTTCCAGGTAATTATCCCTGGAATCAGGCGAGTCGCGCGCGCGAAACCTGCAATTAGCCGGGGACCGAAGGTCACAGAGATCTCGTTTATGGAGTCGCTAGCAAAATGTTAAGTGTGAACGTGCGTCAGCTGCTCCCGCGCGCCGGATTACGCAGGGTTGGGAGGCAAGGTCCGAAGTGGCACAACCTGGCACCTCACATGGGCCCTGGCTCCCACCTCGCTCCGGGAGTGTCTTCCTTGCAGGCTCCAGATGCTGCTGGATGGGCACGGGGCTCCAGGCAGCATCGCCTGCATGTTTATCCTTCCCTCCTGCTGCTGGAAGGGCAGAAAGAACAGAAAAAGCCTCTGCTCCAGCAGACCAAGGTGCTGGTCCCAGGGGATGGGACCAGGATCCTGCATCCTCTCAATCCAGCACTTGGACGCGCTGATCCTCGTCCTGGAAAGGGAACTGAGCGATGCTCCCGTTTCGTCCTAACGTCCCTGCGTTGGAGGGCCGGAGCTCTGGAGCTCCCCTCTCCGGGGGCATCCGCGGCTGCTCCGGCCGCCTCCGCTCGCCTCCTGGCCGGCCGGCTCGCGACGGCACTTAGCTGAATTATATAACTGCAAACAAAGTGTGACAGCTTTATTTGTAATTACGCCGCGTTTAGAGCAACCCGGCGAGCTTAACGAGTTAATAAAGCGGCCGCGCGCCGGAGCGCGGCCGCGGCGGCTCATGAATATGCAGGCGGCGTCGCACGGGGCCGCGGCGGCGCCGGCC